CTTGGAAAAGCAAAATTCAAAAAAACAAATAGTAATTGGGATACAAATATCAACCATACAACGTTTATGATAAATGACAACGGACATCCTGATGTTGTTTTCTTGAAGCAGTTTTTAAAAAATGAAATTTTGATGGAGTTGGAAATTCATTTAAAGAAAGCATACAATGAAAGAATGTTAGAGGCACAACATCATAAATTGACAATTTATACGGGCATGTGGGGACATATGAAGCCTTGTGTGTTTATTGCTGCGGACAACTGTAACAAATCTGGAGAAACAATAGTAGAAAATTTATTGTTCAAATTAGGGAAAATTGGTTCTAAACTAATGGAAATACTCTCACCCTTTACCATGAATTTTTTGTCCAGTTTAGATCCTGAAATATTCTTGAATCACGATTTGTTTCCAATTAGTGCTACCAATTTCATGATCCCAGGAAACAAGCATAGAATTTTAAAACCACACAAGGACAATCAGGATGTGGGATTGTGCATTATCTTTTATTTTGGAAATTACAATGCTCCATTGGAATTTGTAAACAAGGGAAGCGTATTTAATACTGAGAGAGGAGATGTTCTTTTAATGCGAGGCTCTCATTTTCGGCATGTAGTTAAGCCTGTGGATAATGGTTTGTTGGAACATGTACATGACCCAATGAGAATTAGTGTTGTATTATTTGCACACAAAAGTTTGAAAATGAATCCATCTTATTTTCTAAACGCTGGTTCGGCCTTGAAGGCCCATGATGAAGACTTTCCTGAGAAAGCCAAGAAAAGAAAGAAAAAGAGAAAATAAAATTATTTTGTTTACTGTAGTTGTTTTTAACATGATTACAAAATTATATATTTGGAACCGGAAACCAGTTTTGACAACAAGAATATATTTGATAAAATAGTCGCTACACTAGTTTTTAATAGCTTACCTGGTAGTGTTTATTCATCGTCACCTCCACCCTGAACTTCTGCTTCTGGTTCAGCTTCGGCTTGTTCATCTTCTTGGTTGTCAAGACCTTGAATATTGTCATCTTCTGGTTGCATTACATCTCCTTCCTCTTCATCAAGAGCTGCCTTCTCTTCCTGCTCTTCTTCCTGTTGTTCTTCTGCTTCTTCATTGGCTTCTTCTTGGTTTTCTTCTTCCTTTTCAAGCTCATCAAGTTGTTCTTCAGCTTCTTCGAGAGCCTGCTCAACCTTTTCAATATCTTCCTGTAACTTTTCCAAATCTTCTTCTACCTTTTCAGATGATTCTTCTTCATTTTCTTCCATATTTTCTTCCTCCTTGTTTTCTACTTCTTCAGCTTCCTCTTCTTCTTCCTCATTTGCCTCTTCTTCCTTATTTTCTTCCTCCTTATTGTCTACTTCTTCGGCTTCCTCTTCACTTTCCTCCTTATCTTCTTCTTCCTTGTTTTCAACTTCTTCAGCTTCCTCTTCAATTTCTGCCTTTTCCTCAATTTTTGGAGGTGAATTCGATCCACATTCACTTGTTTCTTCTTGTTTTTTCTCCGATGTAGTTTCCTCTTCAGCTTGCACTTCTTCTGCCTGTTCCTCTACCTTAGCTGGTTTATGTTTTCCTGATTTACTCGATTTAGATGAGGTGGTTGATTTGTTATCATCATGATCTTTTTGTTCCTTTGGTGGCTCCTTCTTGAATGATTCCTTCTTAGTACTTCTGTGAGTCTTTGGTTCATCCTCAACTTTTTCCTTTTCGGCAACATTAGAGGTCGAAGAACAAGCACTTCCCATTTTCTCTAGTGTATATGATTATTATAGGGTTTGATTATTATACAAAATCGTATGGCAAATTCCTAGCTTGATTAAGGCAGGATTGGGTGCGTCTATTTTTTTTTTTGAATTTTAGTGATAACAATCCTATGATGCTGAAACATTACGGTGAATGTGTTGTTACGAGGGAAAACATGAAATCGGTTGGTGGTGATGTACTTGGATAAACATGTGGCGGTATTAAAGAAAATTGTACTTGGTTTTGGCGGCAAATTTTAAAGCAGCAAAGAAGTTACCTTTGATTTGTTGTTAGAGAATGGTTGAATGGTATTGAAAAGATTTAAATAGTGAATTATTATTCCAAAGTTGTTTTTAATGTTATTTATGGACAATTGTGTTTGTTGCCTCACAACATTACCGTTAAATATTTTAATAAAAAAATAAAAAATACAAAACCTTCTTCATCACCAACTTGGATAGGAAGAAGGCTTCCGAATAAAGTTGATAAAGAAAAACTTTTTTAATTTGATCAATTTAATTTACAAATATCCACACGATGGAGCATTGACACAATATGAAGGTAATTTCCAAACAGATGGATCTGGCTTTTTCACTTCAAAATCTTTGAAATATTGAATAGAAAATCCATCAACAGTTCTAAACCAAAAAGCAGCAGGTGTTTGATAGCCACTAACTTGATCTTTTGGATAGAAACCATATCCGAAAGGTTCTGCAGGATCATTCTGATCAGTATCCAAAACCCACCAATCCACTGGCTTACCAAAAAGTGCAGCACTTGAATTGTAGAACATGTTGTTCAAAAAGGTTGGTTCTGGAGGATGGAAAACTTGTTCACCAAACACACAACATTTTGGAAATGGAGATGGATCCAAACTAATGAGATAACTTGTCAAATTAACATTAAGGAAATTACATCTGAATTGATTGATCTTGTCTGTGAGTGGACCAAAGATTGGAACACAATAATCATCATAAACTTCTAACATGGCTTTTTGAGACCAATCATAATAGGTAGTTCCAGTACCAAGCATGTATTTCACATTCTTTGGTGGAAGAGGATGCCAATCGAGTGGAATACTAGAATTGTCATTGGTAGAGGCAACAATTCTCCATTTCATGGTAAAGTGCGGAGCAAGAAGTGGACGTTGAGGTTCTTTGATACTTTGTTTCGAATACTTTAATTTACCACCACTAATACCTGCACATGTGATGAGTGGAACAAATGCAAAGATTACCAACAAGGAACACAACACAAAGGCACTGCTGAGAATCGATCTTGACATTTTTTTAAGAGATTAATTGATCAAAGAGATAAGAAAAAACAACACAAGAATCACGACGAAGAGTGTTTGAGAGTGGAGAGGAGTTACTCCGCAGGAGATTTAATTTAAAGCTCCTTGTAAACAATTACAGCGCAAGATAATTCTGGAATTGCATTATCTACATCCAACCTATGTAGTGATTTGTTGTTCTAATGGCTCAACTAGTTTTCACATTTCAATAAATTTCGAAAGATCAAATTTCCCGCCAATTTACAAAAGAAAAAAATGCATCGATTTGAATCTCACAAGAACTCTTCTACATCATTGGGAAGTGTGATCAGTCTTTTAATTATTTTAATTTTTATTTCTGGTAATGTTTACTCTTTGCAGTGGCTGAATCCTTTCTTTCAGCAATGTTCAGGAGTTTCTTCGAAAATGTCGGGTTCAATTGATGATATTTATATTGAAAGTTGGATTCCTGATGGATTTTCATGTGAAGATGTACTTTATACGGAGAAGGTCAAGTGGGATGGTGAACGAATTAATATTGTTTCGAATGAAAATATTTGCAAAAAGATTAGGAATTTGGAGGTCAAGTGGAATAGAACTTGTATAGATGTATTATGTGGTGGATTACCAGAAAATTCCATGCACAATTTGATGAAACATTCGGATAGTTCAGTTGAGGAATGGATCAATGCATGTCAATATTGTGGAAATAACAGTATTGTGTTTAGAGATTTAGTGAGGAGAAGGGAATGTAAAGCAAACAATGAGATTGTACAACAGGCCATTACCAATTTTCCAACTTCAATGCTATTTTGTGGAACATTCGAATATGGAATTCCATTCCTGTTCAATAATTCAAAATCTAAAACAAGTGAACTGTCCAAAAATGAATTTTCCTACTATTGCACTTGTTTATCAAATGGATACTACCAACCAAAATGTTTACCTTATAATAGTGACAAAATAATTCACATTGCCATTCGTGCATTGTTGGAATCTATTATTGTTGGAGAGTTTTTTATTGGATTATTTATTGTGTTTATTCCAAAACTGGTCCATTCAATCAGAACAAAGTCATTCTTTCACATGCTCACCATTTCTTACACAATGCTCAAATTATTGATAGAGGCAATATTTTACATGTTTGCTGTTGTGTTAGATCCAGAAGACGGTATTGCCTTAATTGTACCAACTATTATTGATTGTTTGAATATTATATTATTGTTGGCACTCTTCTCATGGTTGGGAGGTTGGATGAGGAAGGTTTTGGTTTTTTTCAATAAGAAGAATTTAATTTACAGCTTGTTGATTTATGGAATTCCATTTCTAATGTCATTTTTTGGAGTTGCAGTTCCAATAACTATGCTTCTTGTTTTGCCAAAGGAACGTGTCTTGACCAAAGTTTACTTTTTGAATGGATTTTCACTTGCTCTATTAGGTAAGTTATGAAATGGTTCGCAATCTATTTACAATTTGAATAGTATTCGTAATTTTTGGAGTAATTATTGGAAGAGCACTGAAGAAAGTTTCAGATGTGAGCATTTGGAAAAGTCAGGTATGTTTCTTCATTAACCTTTTCTAAATTATATTCGAAATCTTTCAGTTTGCCAAATATCTTGTATTTATCACTCTAGTTTACATTGCTTTCTGCATTTCTATTGCCCTAAGTCTTGGCATTTCCAATGAAAGTGCTCTGAAACAAACCCTCGACATATTATCAAGCTTAATTCTCCTTCTCGTTACAGCCAGTTTACTCAACATTGAATTCGAAATGGATGAATTGAAATCTTGCTATTCCTGTTGTTTCAAATCCAAACAAAATTTTTCCTCCAATCATTCACCACTTCTTCTTCATCATCATCCAGAACAATCGAGCACTAATTACTATTCTGAAGTTATTGGAAATTGAAACAATGAGCCAAACAGCAGTAGTGGTGGAAATGAAATCTCTACTCGTACGTTTTAATTTTCCTCAGCACATCCAAGCTGCGTGCGCACCAATTTTCCTCTTGATTTTCATTCAAATTCGAAAAATAGACCTCTCCATCAAATAATTTCAAAAAAAAACAAAACAACAACATCGCTCTCATAGCTAATCATCTGTACAAATTTATCAAGAAACAAAATGGCCACTAAACAAGCATTGTGTGTTGGAGGTACATCAGGTATCGGAAGAGCATTGGCAATTAAATTCGCCTCTCAAAAATTCAATGTTTCAATCATGGGAAGAAGTGAAGAAGCAGGAAAGGAAATTATTGAAGAAATGAAAAAATTGAATCCAGATGGAAAATTTGAAATGATTAAAGTGGATGCCTCTCTCATGAAGGATATTGAAAAAGTGTGTGATGAATATAAACAAAATCATGATCGATTGGATTATTGTGTTCTTTCACAGGGAATTGCAAGTATGAATGGAAGAACAGAAACAAAGGAAGGAATTGATGTAAAATTGGCACTTCATTATTATGGAAGAGTTATGTTTGTGAGACAATTGCAAGATTTATTGAGATTGACATCAAAGAATTCAGATGTGAGAGTCTTGACTGTTTTATCAGCTGGTGTTCATTCACCTTACACTAAATTGGATGATTTGGATTTGAAACACAATTTTACATTGAAGAATGCAGCAGATGCAGCTGGATTTTACAATGATCTCGCCATGGATCAATTATCCAAAGAAGAAGGCAATCAAAATATTGCATTCATTCATCAAGCTCCTGGATTCATTGCCACACAATGGGGACGTGAAATGCCAGCTGTCGTGAGATGGACCACACGTTTCTTCCAAAACTTTGCCAGATCTCCAGAACAATGTGCCGACAATATTTACAAGGGATTAAGTTCAGAATCGACACGAAAGGGTTTCCATTTATTGGATGAACATGGAGAGCCAACAAAAGTGACAAAGAGTCATAGCGATAGTATCAGAGAAACAGTTTGGAAACACACTGTGGAATTGTTAAATAAGGCCCTTGGAAAATAATCATTTAAAAACTAATAATTTGTAAATAATAAACTAAAACTAAATTAATTTCCTAATTTCATTTGGATAGCTCTTCAAATTTTTATGGTATTAATGCCACAAAGCAAAACTGAGCCATATACGACTTGAATCCAAACAGATTAAATGAATTTTACAGTTATTCGAATCTAATTATATTAATAGTTGTGAAAGATCAAAGTTCATTATCGTTGTAAAAAAAACAAGAAAAAAATGCTTCCAATTCAACTCTTCGGACCCACGTGCGTTTTTGTTTCATCAAATGATGAAATTTTTATCGCTGATTGCAATAATCATCGAATTAGAAAATTAAATAATCAGAAAATCATGACAGTAGCAGGGAATGGTGAATTGGGGTTTTCGAGTGATGGTGAATTGGCAATTAATGCTAAATTAAATTATCCGAATGGTGTGTTTGTTGTAAAGGAGGAAGTATATATTGCAGATTATCATAATCATCGAATTAGAAAGGTTTCGAATAATGCATAATTGAAACGATTGCTGGAAATGGAGAAGGTGGATTTGAAGGAGATAATGGTCCAGCTAAATTATCCAACGAGTGTGTTTGTTTCAGAAAATGGAGAAGTTTATATTTCGGATTATCTGAATAATCGAGTTAGAAAGGTTTTACAAAACGGAAATATTGTAACAATAGCAGGAAATGGAAAATTAGGATGTTCAGGAGATGGTGGTTTGGCAATTAATGCCGAGCTCAACTGTCCAATGAATGTATTTGTATTCAACGAAGAGGTATATATTACGGATTCAGCAAATCATCGTATTAGAAAGGTTTCGAAAAGTGGAATAATTGAAACGATAGCTGGAAATGGAAACGAAGGATTCAGTGGAGATGACGGATTGGCCACTCAGGCTCAACTCAATTGTCCAATGAGCACATTTGTAAACTCTAATGGAGAAATTTATATTACAGATTCTAATAATTTTAGAATTAGAAAGGTTCAAAGAAATGGAATAATTAAAACAATAGCAGGAAATGGAAATGATGGATTTGAAGGAGATGGTAGCTCAGCAACAAATGCCCAACTCAATTATCCAATGCATGTTTTTGTTTCTTCCAACGATGAAATGTATATATCCGATAGTGGCAATAATGCCATTCGAAAGGTATCAAGGAATGGAATTATTGAAACAGTAGCAGGAGAAGGGCCTTATTCACAAGGATACAGTGGCGATGTTTCGTTTTGAATTCATGAAACACTGTTTCTAACATTTTCCAATCAAAATGACCAAGTTCGAAATCAGTTGACTCAAAACTATTCTTTGTAACCTTCAATTTCAATTCTGATTGAATATCTCAGCGTTTTCCACACCCAAGTGGAATTTTCAACCTCAAAAAAAAAATGAAAGACATTACTATGGTACGTTTCGCGAATTTGATTTTTTTCCCGCCAACACTTTGGATGCTCCATTTACCCACTTTCATGAACCAAAAAATTACGCGCCGATTGTGATTGGTTCATCATCATCGTCATCACGAATATTATTTGTATTTATTAATTATCTTATTATTCAATGTTCTTGCATGTTCGGTTTATCATGTCATTATCTTACATGTTTTTAAATATTTCCAAAATAGGCGTATGTGCTGTGGGCACTTTGTTTCTTTGGTTTATTTGGTATTCATCGATTTTATTTGAATTCGTGGACGATGGGTATTGTTTACTTGTTCACATTTGGATTGTGTGGAGTGGGACAGATATTTGACGTTTTGTTGATTCCTGGATTGGTTGCCCAGGAGAATGGAACTAGCTCAAATAATAATGGATTAGTGTTTGGTTTTGGAAATAATATGTTTTCTGGTGGCAATTATGTTAACTTTAATAATGCTCAGCCTTATCAAGTCTCGAATGGAAATGCTGGCTATTCTCAATATTATGTGAATGATGGACAACAGCAACCTCAATCATATGTTCCACCTCAACAACAAGAGCAACAAGAGGGTGGTGAATCGAATGAATATGTACCACCTCAGCGAAATTCTGGATTTACAATGTACATTAATGGTCAACCTGTTGATTTGTCTAATGGAGGAACAATTTATATGGATGGCTCAGGAGAAGCTCAATACTACGCCAATGATGATGATAACGATGATCAGCATTTCAATAGTGTTTTTGATAACATGAGAAGAGCTGAGGAGAATAGAAGATTACATGATAGCATCCGTAGAACGAACGAATCAATTAACAGAAGTAACGAAATACATAGAGAAAATATTAGACGAATGAATGAAAATATCCATAGAACCAATGAGCAAAATCGCAGAACCAACGAGAATAACATGAGAATGCATCATCAAAACATGAACAGAATGCACGACAATATGAGAATGCATCAAAATATTCATAGCCAGAACATGCAAAGAATGCATCAACAAAATACTATGAATAATATCAATAGAATGAATACTTTCAGAAGATAAACCTATCCTTTTTACAAGTAGAAAGATTGTACTATTAGCAAGTTG